GATTGAAGGCAGGAGGAGAGGGGGACCACAGAGGATGAGATGGTTGGATGGCATCACTGACTCAATGGACATGAGTTTGAGTAAATTCCGGGAGTTGGTGATGGACAGGGAGGCCTGGCGTGCTGCAGTCCATGGGGTCACAAAGAGCCAGACACGACTGAGCGACTGAACTGAACTGTCGCCCTTTGCTTCTTCATCTGTGAAAAGTGGATAGCTTTAGTGCCAACCTTTAGGGTGGTCATAAGAATTAAATAAGTTCAAATTTGTAGACCAGTTATGCAATGCCTGGTCACATGAGTACTATGTGAATGTTTGAAGAAGACAATAAGATAAATAAAAAAGAGAAGAATTATTATAATGTGGAAGGAAGCAGTAAGCAGGGTGCCCAAGACATCATGGGCATCCCACTGGGAGTTCTCCCTAAATCAGAGCAATACAGACATGGCGGCTCCTGCACATTTACAGAGTAAGCACAAATGGAGGCTGTTTTGTGTAAATTCTCATCACGTTATTGACTTGTCTTCTGTTGATCACTCTTTACTTCTTCTCTCCCTCTCTCACTGTCTTCGCCTCCTATTCCGTGACGATGGAAAACCAGCCACAGAATATGAAATAAAATTTCAGTTCAGAAGTGCAAACATTTTTGAAAGAACATTTCAAAGGAAAAAGAAAACCTTGGGTCTCTAATTACTTTTATCACCACTGTGAACATATCAAAGAAGCATTTCATTTTTTGTGCTTTCCTTTAGGAAGCTTTGCCAAGTTAAGAAAATTTTTAAAAAATAAGAATCAAAGTAACCTCAATATAGTTTTAAAGTATAGGGCATTTCTTAAAGAATTGCAAAGAACAAACAAGTGTTCTCTAATTATGCTCCAATGAATTTTAGAAACTTGCTGAAAATTCCCTTGCTCTTGTATTTGTTTGCCTGTCTCCTTTGGGTATTTTGCATGTGTGTATCCATATATAAGAGTTCTCTTTTTGACAGACACCCACACCCACATGCCCCAGAAATGCTGTTTGAGTACTTATCTAAATAGATGAGTACTTATTGAAAATAAAAATGTTCTGACCAAAACAGCAGCACAGAGAAAAGGATTTCATCCACTGAGAGCAAACAAGAAAAAATAAATTTAAAAAATAGGATTTGGACCAATAATTTGTATATATGCAATAAATGTCAAATCTAACATTAGAAATGTAATGAATTTGAGTATGATACATTTTTGCACTTGGAATTTTAATTGCTTTTTTATGTGCATAATGACTATTCATATAAAAGAAAATAAAGATAAAGCAAAGCAATGTTTATTAAAAATCAGAATAACCATTTTGGTGGAGTTATGATTAGAAATATGGTCCCAAATTACCTGAAGGAAAAGGACCAAAAGCCTTCAAAAATATCTTGGTTCTATTTCTTAAACCGAACAATGAGGAGTCTTAGATGAAATAAAGACAGCCCCAAACCAGGAGTCAGGAGACCTGCCTCTAACAAGCTACCTATGATTGGATAACTTGTGTGACTTTGGGTCCGAATTTCCTCACCTATCAAGAAATACAGTTGGACTAAAGGACTCCGCAGAATCTTAGGACACAGTCATTCCTATTCTAAGTCTATGGATGTGATCCTCTGTTATAGCTGTCATCTGATTCTGGGACCCATGCAAGTCTCTTTTTCTTTGCTTTTCTTAAAGGTTTTTTTTTTTTTTTTTATGTGGACCATTTTTAAAGCCTTTATTGAATTTGTTACAATATTGCTTGTTTTTATGTTTAGTTTTTTGGCTATGAGGCATGTGGAATCTTAGCTCCCTGAACAGGGCTTGAACCTGCACCCCCTGCATTGGAAGGTGAAGCGTTACCACAGCACCACCAGGGAAGTCCCAATCCTTTTTTCCTTAACTTTACTGAAGAACTCCTTCAATGTTTATGGTAACATACTTTCAAAGCAAGCCTTCTCAATCAAGGGGGTTGGGGTGCCTGTTCCCACACCAGGTCACCTTCCCAGTGACGTTCATAGGGCAGAGTAGGTAAGAAGAGTGAAGGACCTGAGACTCTGTTAGGGGTCTAGGATTGTGCCCTGTTTATCAGCCCTTATCCTACCCAGCTGCTGTTATTTAACAAGAGGGCAGATAAATCCACATGATAAGGATCTGATCATGTGTATTGAATAAGATGCACTAATACATTTCTTTCTTTTTTCCCAATGGTCAAAATCCAATTTCTATGCAAATGCTTTTGGGTCATAACATTTCTATTTTTAACAGGTATAAATCTTCTTCTTTAACAGGAAGATTTGGAATTGCTGTTATAAATGACACAAAACTCCTCCAGAGCAGAAGTGGCTTATCTCATTCTTAGGTGCTGAGACTGGCAGGGCTTCAAGGCATTTGTTCTCCAAGGACGGGCGCAATCCACGGAAACGAAGGCAAATCTCTAGTCCATGTCTTAACGCCCCAGGAAGGAGCGGGAAGGAGAGCTTGGTGCTCCGAGTTCAGAATCCCTCTCAGTTCATCGTGAATTGACCTACTCAATGTTATTTATTAGAAGAAATACTTCAATTGGCCACTGTTTTTATTTGGAGGGAAGTTGGCTTTCTTTGGATTCCTATAGGCCAGACAAGCCCTTGTTAAAAACCACAAATCCCATGGTGTATGGAGAGCCTGTCCCCATATTTCTTCAGATCTCCCCTTGGGTGACAAGAGAGGTTTCTCAGATTGCCCCATACAAACATAGACCCATTGCCCTGCTTTTTCTTCCTATGTTAATCTTCTGTGCATATTTGATATTTTTGTACATGTATTTATTGTCTATCTACTCCACTAAAAAATAAACTTCCTAAGGATGTTGAGTATGTTTTGTTCACTCTACATTTTCAGTGGGAACAACACGCATTGTAGGTGCTCAGAAAATTATCCATTTGATGAATAAATGTCAGAAACCCTTCAGGTGGGAGACTTCCCCAACAGTCCAGTGATTAAGACTCTGCCTTCCAATGCAGGGGGAGTGGGTTTGATCCCTGGTCAGGGGTGTGGCCAAAAAAATAAAAATAAAAATATAGATAACCAACAAGGACTTACTGTAAATAAATAAATAATTAATTTTAAAAGGGAAAAAAAATCCTCCAAGGGAATAAAGAATAGTTAAGGATAGTAAGAAATAATTTAAGAGTAAGCATAAACCACCACATTTGCCCAAGGCAGAATGGGGATAACTTTTTAACACACAGCAGTATCAGTCACATCATCACCAAATGCTCTCACCGTTTAACCTCCATGCCCAGAGAGAGGCACTTCTGATGTAACACTTTATGATTCTTTTTCCTTCATTTACCATCAAAATGCACAGGTGAATGTCCAATTCTCTTTCTTTTCTTTTGAAAGAAAGGAGACACCTCTCTCTGTATTGCCTTTAGTGAAGGCTTCTCCACGCATCACATTTTACAATGAAAATGCCTTAGATAGGCCTACTCTTGACTCTGGCTACCAGAGTTTCTCAGAAAGGAAGGTATCTCCCTAAGCTGCCTTTGCAGAATGAAGGAACTCATGTCAACAGGTGGCTGGGGCACTTACTGCCAGAGCAGGAGGCTTCTTTAGGGCTGGAAGACATCGGCTGTGCGCAGAGTTGGCAAAGGCAGTCTCTCCCATTGAACGTGACTCGGTCTCCGGGTGGAAACGGGCGCCTGGAAAGACATTGCCCTCAAGGTTATTGTGGTAATTTTATCCCTTTCCCTCACTCCTTCTGCTTTGCTGCCTTCCAGTGCCAATTCATTACTTGGAGGAGCACCAGCCAAAACGTCTGCAATGCAGTCTGAATCAAATCGGCCAGCTGGATCCAGTCCAAACAAACAAACGTGCCTCATTTTAAGAGGAAAGGAGAATGCACAGCTTCTACAGGCAACCAGATAGTAAAATGAAACCCTTTACCTCCACTCCTTAGTGGAGGGATGTTCCAGCAAGTCACCTAGCAGGGCACACACGGTAAAATTTCCCATTTCCAAATTGATATACTGCCATGAAGAAATGTTTGAAATGTTATGAATTCCTATTCAAGCTTAAGGCACCTCCAGTTCTCAAAGAGAACTGGTCATACAGGGCAAACATTAATTCTTCACATTCCCTAGACCTATATGATAACGATGCTGAATTAGACATTGTCTTGCAATGGGAAAACTGAATACCTCCCAATTCTAGGGACTCAGTCCCTTATAAACCTGGATTAAATATGAAAATGCTGTAAATATCTGTTTAAGAATTAGTATTCACTTCCTCTCAGAGATTATTTCCCTTCACATTAGTGAAAATGAAAGTTGCTCAGTCTCGTCTGACTCTTTGTGACCCCATAGACTATACAGTCCATGAAATTCTCCAGGCCAGAATACTGGAGTGGGTAGCCTTTCCCTTCTTCAGGGGATCTTCCCAACCCAGGAATCGAACTGGGATCTCCTGCATTGCAGGTGGATTCTTTACCAACTGTGCTATCATATCTGCTTAAAAATTAGTATTTGCTTCCTTTCAGAGACTATTTCCTTTCACAGTAGACATTCATCAATAAATAACAGCACATTTTTTTCAAAAACATTGCCTTCTGCAGGTATGTTTCTTCTCCTCCCAGCAGGCAGATGGCTTTAAAAAAATAAGTCATTAATTAATAGCCATATGACAGTTTCCATGCCTGCTCACTTGCCACTGGCCAATTTGCCAATGATCTTCAACATGAATTTTCATATGTGTGATTCTGTCAATTAGGAAATTTAAAATTCATAAGCCAAACATCCCCACCCATCTGAGTCAGAAGCAGGCTCCAATTCAGGCTTCTGGACATGAATTTTATGTTCACAGGTACTTTAAGTTGCCCTTCATCACCTAACAGTTGGTGATTCACCGTCCTGCACATGCAGGCAGTAAATCTGGGTTTAAAACAACTCCACAAATGTACTTGCTGCCAGTCATCGAGGAGAGTTTTAAACCACACCCCCAAATTTTAGAAGTGCTGGGTTGAGGCGGTCTCCCAGGGCCGTGTTATTTTCCATTGCTCAGATAAAGCCCAGAGAGGGTAATGGATTGACCAACTAGAGAGACCATGCCACAGGCAGAGGTGGGTGGTGTCCACCAACCCAGAACTTGCTCTCTCTTCAACAATCAAGGTCACACTCTGGTGGGTGCCAGCCAGCCTATCAATTCATACTCATCAGTTAAAGCCAAACAAACCTCCAGCCTCCCCTGTAACAAGGCCATCAGGAAGTGAAGGGTCTGTCGACATAATAAGCACAGTTTCTTTGCCTCTGATCAGGGCCAGGGCCAGGAGGAGGCCAGTGAGGCACTCAGGATAGAGCATCTAAGGAGGTCCCCACTCTCAGGAGGACCGCATGACCTGGGAGTGAGCACCCCCTTTAAAGTGTGTGCCCAGGCACCTCCCTGGCCTCACCCTAGTCCAGACCCTGTGTCTGATTTAGGCTTATATTTCTAGACTTCAACCCCACAGAGATCCACTATGGAACAAATTAGAATCCAGTTCTCAACAAGGGGCAAGGTGCTCTGAATTTTGAATTCTGTTATTTCATAAATTGACCCCTTTCATTTCCCCAAGTCCTCGGCCTACATGGGTTCACTTCCTTCTGTTATTTGCATGAATGTTTGTGATAGAAAGAGGATTGGAATTAAGAGTCTGAACACGTGAGTTCAAATATTGGCCTTGTGATGTGAAGGACTGGGAAAATCCTGTAGACTCAGGGTCTCAAAGTCACTCATAAGTAGGGATAGGAATTTCTGATTGACCTCACAGAATTGTTGAAAGGGTTAGATTAATTTCTACATGAATGCAATTTGTAAGCTGTAAAGGTGGCCTCCCTTTCAGGAAGAATTGGTGTCATTAGCCGGCACCAGCAGCTTAGGGCATCAGTAACAGGCACCTCTCTGTTGGATAGAGATGATGGATAGAGATGATGAATGTTTGTCCATCGTTACCAACCTGAAGCAATGATCTCTCGGGGCCAGGATCAGGAAGGCTCCTAGAGTTTACCTGGGCCAGGGCCTTCTAACCTGTCATTCTTTATTTTTAATTGGAGGATAATTGCTCCAAGATTTTGTGTTGGCTTCTGCCACAGAATCACGCCAGTCAGCCACAAGCATGCATATGTCCCCTCCCTCTTGAACCTGCCCCCACGGACACCCCATCCCACCCCTCTAGGCTGTCACAGAGAACCCCATTGAGCTCCCTGTGTTATACATAGAAATGGATATTTTTAAAAAGACCCTTCCTAAGCTCCAACCTGGTGATCTGTGACAACCTAGAGGGGTGGGGTGAGCTGGAGTCGGGGGTAGGAGGGAGGTTCAAGAGAGAGGGGACATATGTGTACTTATGCCGGATTTGAGTTGCTGTATAACAGAAACCAACAGAACATTGTGAAGCAATCATCCTCTAATTAAGAAAAGAGAAAAAGAGACACTCCCGTGGGGATTCCAGTGACTACCCAGGTTTGGGGAATCACTTTTATTTAGCCCACAGCCTCTCATCTTACAGACAAGTGCCGTAGAAGAGTTAGCTCACAGACGTCTCAAACCAGCCCAGGAAAGAGGACCAGAAACAGGGCTTCCCGAATGCCAGCCCAGGGTTCTCAACCAGACTGTGGGCGGCAGCTTGAAAAGGGAGAGGTCAAAAGGACACTTTGCTGTTGATTAAATACAGAAAAAATTCAGCTCATTAACCCAGAACTTTAAAATTATGACTTAAAAATATATAATTGAGAAATGACCTAATAGCTACAAAAAGTTACTAAAATAATTTGATTATGAATACTTCATCTAAATCTTATTATGATTCATCCATGAGTATTATCCTGTTAATTAACTGTATAAAATCAAATTTACCCTTCTAGAGTTTACATTTCTCTGGCCTAAAAACAGGAAATGCTAAAAAATAAAATGAACTGAACTACAGTTTTTACAAAGGCATAGCAAAATTGAACACATATGATCAACATGATACCAAAAGTCATGGAATTACTCTATAAATATGGGTCAACTAATTAAATTCCCTCTTCTCTCTGATTGACCATTTTAATCAAGCTGCTTTGTGCAATAAAGATTTAACCTTGATTGATGATAGGTGCCTAGAGAGGAGGGGTTGACAGCTTTTCCCCTGAAAGATCAGATTGTAAGTATTTTTTTAGACTGTGCAGATCATAAGGTTTCTATCTCAACTACTCAACTCGACCACTGTCGCTTGGAAGCAGTCATAGACAATATATAAACAAATGGGCATGGCTGTGTTCTAATATAACTTTATTTACAAAACAGGTCTAATTTGATCCTTGAGGCCGTTAGCTCTCCCTGGCTATAGAGCAAATGAGATAATTTTACACACCCACACCCATACACGTAAGATCTGATACTTCCAAATAAGCTTCATCATTCCAAGTATTTATGCCATCTTCTCCCATGTTCCCACTGCTCAAAATGTCTCAAGACCTGGAGCTGCTTTCAGATTCGGCTCCCACTTAAAATCAGTCACACTGTTTAGTGGAGGGCATTCCATATAAAGCTTCCTAACTAAATTACTTTTTAACTGAGCCTGATAATACAGTAGGAGAACAAGAACATCTAAAGGCACATCAGGAAAAAATATATAAAGACAAATATGCGGCATCACTTCTATGTGGAATCTAAAAAAAAAAATGATACAAATGAATTTATTTACAAAAACAGAAATAGGCTCAGAGACATACAGAACAAACATGGTTATCAAAGGGGAAAGGAGAGGAGAAGGATAAATTAGGAGTTTGTGATTAGCAGATACAAACTACTATATATAAAATAGATAAACACAAAGGTTTACTGTACAGCACAGGGAACTATATTCAGTATCTTATAATAATCTGTAATGGAAGAGAACATGAAAAATAATGTATATAATATGAATAATATATATAGTATATATACAACATAAACAATACATATATTATATATATATAAATATATATATATATACATATATATGAAGAAAGTGTGTTAGTCACTCAGTCATGTCCAACTCTTTGTGACCCCATGGACTCTATGTAGCCTGCCAGGCTTCTCAGTCCATGGAATTCTCCAGGCACGAATACTGTGGTGGGTTGCCATTTCCTTCTCCAGGGCATCTTCCTGATGCCTTCCTGACCCAGGGATTGAACCTGGGTCTCCTGCATTGCAGGCAGATTCTTTACCACCTGAGCCACCAGATAAATAATATATATAATATATATATAACTGATTCATTTTGTTGTACACCTGAAACTAACACATTATAAATCAACTATACATCAGTAAAAATAATTTTTTTAAAGAAAAAATATTTCAAGACTAAGTACAACTCAAGACCAAAGCGCACATTCCAAGCTCTGATAGCAGAATCCAACACTTCCCTGTTGGCAGAAGCCACACTTACTTGCAGATCGTGCAGGCAAAGCAGTTGGGATGGTAGGTCTTGCCCAGGGCGGTCACCACCTCTCCTTCCACGAACTCCCCGCAGCCATGGCATCGAGTGCCATACATCCTCTGGTAGTCCAGGGTGCAGAGATACTCCCCGTTCTTTATGAAGAAGCCCCCTTGGGCCAGGTCACAGCCACACACTGTGGACAGACAAGTTCACATCTGGTCACAAGCTGCCAAGTTACTGGGCAGCATCGCCTTCTACCACATGCTGCTAACTTACTCTATGATCTCAGCAGTATGGGGTTCGGGGTGGGGAAGACTGGTACAAAGAGCTATTTATTGTTGGGCTCCAAGTTCTCTCTTGCCTCCCTCCCTCTTTGTTTCCCTTCCCTTCGGGAGCTATGCAATATCTCATGCAAGTAAATTCCATTGGCTAGGTCTCAACAGCCTTTGCGATACATCTCAGATTCAGAGATAATCAGTCTTTGATGGAAAGATACCTTTGGGTCATGCTGTCTCTAATAGGAACAAAACTGTCTCTGGCAGAGCTACTTAGGAAAGATAGACACTGCTTGCCCACACAACTGCTTGGTTTGGCCTAAACTGTTACTGAGCTGAGTAATAAATTCCCACTCTACCAAAAGCAGGAGCTGAAATGTCCAGTGTCTATTTTTTCACACTCTGGAAATACTTTCCCATAGTCGTAAAACATTCAGGCGTTTAATTTTCTCTTGGTGCAGCAAATAGGATAAGTCCATTATTTATATATTAAAGAGAGAGATAAAAATGAGCAAGTCAAAGAGGAAAGAAAAGGGAACGTGTCCAAGATAAACCTGTTGTTCCTGACACCAGCACATGCAAAAAAGAGACTGCTTTGCCGTGTCTGGATTTTGGCATCTCTTCCAAACCTGCACAGCTGTGGAGTATGGAGACGGTGTGAAAAAGTAGGTCCTGAGACGCCAGGTCTGCATGTTCAGACAAGACCAGAGCAGGACTCAGCAGCTTGTCGAAAAATAAAGCCAAAGGCGGCTCCTGAGAGTAAAGACTTTCCATTGACAAATGACCAGGAAGTAACATCAAAGCTGGAAATCTCTGTTCTTAACCTCTGTATTCCCAGGGTTGGTTGACTCCTATACAATTCAGATCCTAAGGTAAAGAATCCAGGATTCATCTTGATTATTCCTGCCAGCAGCTGGAATAGGCTTTTATCTGGGGTAAGGATGAACTGAATTCAGTCACTAAATAGTTTTCCTAAGGACCTGCTAGAACATATCCAGGGTTCCTCTGGTAAGTTCTCATGACCCATGAAAGCATCTAGATGAACTAAGTGTTGAGCACAGTAAGACGCTGATGGATTCGGATAGAATCTTACACTCCCACCCCAGCTCGCAGTCTCTACTAATTGCAACTACTGAAGATATTCAAGGTGACACAGAAGCTACAACAAGCTTTCCACTGTAGGTTCATCTGTCTGTTTAGGTCCACACTCCTCAGCTATGACCTTCTTCTTTGCAGTTTATACTCAAGTAACCCAAGATGATGGCCTGAGTCCATCATGCTGAAAATGACCATATAAGCTCTGCTGTGATCACATTACCTGGAAGCCAGCTCGTTCACCACCTGCTGCCTCCCTAACTTGCCAGTGCCCCCACTGTTTCCATTCCTGCCTTTTCCTATAATATAAGTCCTGTGGGTCAAGGCACTGAAGTTAGGACTAACCTTGCTCTAATTGCAAATTCCTTCAACAATGATAAACACAATCCTGAGAGTCACAGGACACCTTAGAGATTTTTCTTCAATATCTTTCTATGTATTTTTTAATTTTCACACAAGACTACAAGGCACTTTATGGATAAGAGTCTTCAGCTTTACTTCTTTTGATTTGTAGAAACCTCTAACCACAGAACTTAACATAAGGCTGGGAACCAATTTTTTAATTAAACTGAATCCACTTCAAATTTGGCAGATTCCTACCAATTTCACTCCTTAGTGGCATGAAGTAGTTCCTATGACTCAGTTGCTCTTCCAAACTCGGGTCTTTGTCAAAACCATGACAGGTGACAAAATAATGCATTTGGACTAATAATAATTTCCTTATATTATTTTCCTTGCTAATAATAGTTTCTCCTCCAATCTCCTAAGGTAGACAGAATGTAATAGTTCACAGATCTTTTGTAAAAAGCTCTGGTGGCAACAGGGTCATCCTTATGTTCATGCAGATTGTAGGGATGGCTTCAAAGCTAATTCTAAATGTTTTAGAAATCCCTGTACTCACCGCTTCCTTAGGGTATCTTTCCAGGCTTTCTAGTTCACATGGTTTTATGAAATTGACACATGCTCTCCTTTAATAATAAAGTCTTAGTTTATATGATCATAAAATAGCCTTAAAAGTGATTTTGTAATCACTGTTGAGAGATGCCAAACTACAATCAAACTGTGCCCTTTGCGATTTGATTTGGCTTGGTCCTTAAATTCAAGGCAGTGGCTCAAATGTGCTTACCAAACTGTACCATTGTTTCTGGTGGTTTATACCCGAGGAAACTAGCATTTGAAAACAGACTCACAGAGGCAAGGGTCATGAAAGGTATACCCAGCAAGTAGTGGGAGGGAAGGTCTATACTGCTCAGACCTAAAAGTACTTAACAACACATACATTTCCAAAGAGTGGACTAGCTGAGACGTAACCTCAGACCTTTCCTTCTTTCTCTTCTCCGGGTATACTCGCCTATTCTTCCCCTGGTCACAACTTCTCAGTCTCCTTGGCCACACCCTTACAGGCAGGTAACCCCCATGGACATTACCTTTTTCCTCCAAAATATAAGGCCTCCCTGGAAACAGAGGGCTTCCCAGGTGGCACTAGTGGTAAAGAACCCACCTGTCAATGCAGGAGACATAAGAGATGCAAGTTCGATCCCTGTGTCTGGAAGATCCCCTGGAGGAGGGCATGGCAACCCACTCCAGTATTCTTGCCTAGAGAATCCCAAGGACAGAGGAGCCTGGTGGGCTACAGGCCATGGGGTCACAAAGAGTAGGACACAACTTAAGTGACTTAGCGTGCACACACACTTTAGAAACAGATCTCATCCATTCTTAGAGTTTCAACTATGACTGTGCAAAGGATTCTCAAATCAGAGTCTATCTGTGACATCTTCCCCAATCAGGGCATACAACTATCTGAACATAGCATCATCCAAATAAACTCTATTCTCTCAGCTTCTCTGCCATTTCTTCTAAAACTCTCTGCTATTCCCTCTTTTAATAAAATGCCATCACTAAGCATTCTCCCACTCTTAAACCCAAATTTTCAACTAGCCACTAAATCCAATGTGTTTTCCCAGGAAAACATTTCTTTGATCCATTCCCTCCTCTGCCTTCTTACCACCTCTACTCAGATCCTGGTCTTTAGTATCTCTTGTACTAAAACAGCTTTATTATAATAGTGTTTGTACTGGCAGAAAAAAAAAAAACCTGGGAAAAACTCAACTTTCCATCAGTAGAGCAAGAGTTGGATAAATTATGATATATCCAGTCTATGAAGCTTTTTTTTTTTTTAGGAATAGATTAGATCAATATTTGTAACCTAGAGGTCTGTCCATGATAAACTGTTAAAAGAGAAAATTTCACAAAGAACTTCAACGATCCCATGTTTCAAAAGTCTACTTACATTTTTACAAACAAGGAAAAGTGAGTTAACATAAACATAGGATTATTGATGGGTTATCTCAGCAGGATGAATAACTATTCACTTTTTATTCACATACCTATGTGTCAGCTCACTTTTAAAAATTATTTAATTTTGCTAAAACACACATAACATAGAATGGACCATCTTAACCATTTTTAAGTGTACAGTTCAGTGACATTTAGCACATTCACCTTCTTGTGCAGTCATCATCACCATGTATCCACAGGACATCTTTCATCCTGCAAAACTGAAACTCTAGACCCATAAAACATTAACTCCCTATTCTCCCTCCCTCCCCCAAGCCCCTGGAAACTGCCACTCTAGCTTCTGTCTCTATGAATTTGACTGCCCTTGATGTCTCATATAAGGAGAAACTCACTTTATAATATGTTAAGAAAAATTATCAAAAACATGTCCACGAGGTGAAGGAAAGAAGCAGGTTTCTCCAGTGTCATGCTGGAATTTTAATAGCTCACACAGAATTATTTCATGACCCAAGGCACTGGATCTGTGTTTGACAAGATCTTTACCTGGGTTCAATCCCTGGGTTGGAAAGATCCCCTGGAGAAGGGAGAGGCTACCCAGTATTCTGGCCTGGAGAATTTCAAGGACTGTACAGTCCATGGGGTCACAAAGAGTTGGACACGACTGAGTGACTTTCACTTTCATTTTACTACTAATTAAAAGCCCAGACTTTGAAAGTTAACTGTAACTTGTAGGTTCTTGACCAGGAGATGTGCAGATGATTTCGGTCCAGGTTTACTATCCTGTTCCCTGTTAGACCGCTAATCAGTTTTATATTTAACCCTGACATCTCATTCTTTCTTTTTCTTTTCTCTTTTGGCCACATCACACGGCATATGGGACCTTAGTTCCCCCAGGGATCGAAGCCACATACCCTGCATTAGAAGAACAGATTTTTAATCACTGAATCGCTAGAGAAGTCCCTGACATCCTTTCTTGAACACCTTTAAACCCATTCCTGTGGTTCTCCTTTGAGTTGGCTTTACATTCTGCTAGTTCCCTCATTAATGAGTTGACTAAATCTCTGGTTAATGCTCATTCTATATTGGTGTGAGAGTCATATATTTAACTTTTTGAAAATTACACTTTGACAAAGTATAATTAACCAAAAATTAACCAAAAATATCTAAAGGTGAATCATATAAAAATTTTAAAAGGTGGGAGGGATGCGTCCCTGGTGGCTCAGTGATAAAGAATTCTCTGGCTAATGCAAGAGACACAGGTTCAATCCCTGATCCAGGAAGATTCCACATGCCGAGGAGCAGCTAAGCCCATGTGCCACAGCTGTTGAGACTGGGAACCACAGCTCCTGAAGCCTGCATGCCCTAGAGCCTGTGCTCCTCAACAGGAGAAGACACGGCAGTGAGAAGCCCGAGCACGGCAACTAGTAGCCTATGCAGCAGTGAAGACCCGGCATGGCCAAAAATAAATTAAAAAAAAATTTTAAACTAGAGTTTAAAAATAAAATTCACTGTAAAAAATGCTTTT